CTTGTCGTCGTAAAGTTGCGAGCACCCTTAGCACTCGTAGCGGTCGGTCTTGCGCGTACGTCGCGTGTACGTCGTTACTCGTACCCCCAGGTAATTGCGGCCTTTCGCCGGGGATCCCTGACCCTTCGTCCACGGGGTAAAATCAGCCGGAACGCCCTCGATAACCGCCCCCGTAACCGGCGGTTACGTTAAGCACGAGTTTCACCCCTAGACGGGATTTCTCGGCGCTCCGCCGTCCGCGGAATTCCCCAGAACCCCCTACGGTGGCGAACCTAGGGGAAACTTACCAAACTCGGCCCGTTATCATATTTTCCTTAGGGGAAACACAACCTGGCGGGTCGGGAAACTCTCCTCGGGGCGCAAAGTGCGTTATGCTCAACTTTTGCCCTCCCATTCCGAGTGTTCGGTAACCAAAGGGGTTGGGCAGTGAAGCGTCATTCGAGGTTTTTTACGTAAAGTACCTAAGGTGGTACGAAAGGGTTATTCTACAAATACGATAGGTAATGACGTTTATAAAAATTATTTTCACTATTGGGTCAACCGAATCATTTGAAACTTTGCATATAATTATGGATGCCCTAAGGAAGAACGTGGTGCTCGTAAAATTTCATTAAAAAAAAATGAACATTGAAGAAGAAAGGGTCATTCTACATATACAATAGGTAAACTACGTATATTACCTAGGGTATTTCCCTTACCCAACCCTGACCGTGACACTTTGTCCTTTTTTTTTTTTCAACATGGTTGCACGAATTTATATAGAAAACTCTATATGTAGTCTTGTACATCGATTACGCGCCTATCGCTTTTCCGGTTGGTCTTTCAAGAAGTTAAATCGAATCCGGAAGCTGCAGTCGAAGAACAAACCGGCGCCCCCTGAACTTCGGCGAAGTTTGATGCTTCGCAAATCAATGGGCATCGCTCGGCCGTGTTAAATTATCCCCTGGCCACCCCGAGCGCCTCCACGATTTACAGTCGAGACTAATTTATATCGGGCTGTGTGCTTCACTTGCGACCGGAGAACACGACTCGGCCCCTGGGGACAATTCCAAGGTAATTGCCCGTGAATTATCCGTAAAGTAGTGTACAAATAGAACCTATCTACCGCGTAATTGTCTGCCCAAAGTGTAACTCTCGGTTGTGGGAAAATATCGTTGAGTGAATTTAATAAATAATTAATTCCCCTTACGAGGTGGCACGTGTACTTTTCGTGCATACCGAAATAGTACCTACAGACTGTACATATGAAGGAAAGACCATTTGCTGATATCTACATTTTATTTATTTTTTAGTTAATATATACATGTATGTTGGTGAACACCACGTGAAATGTTTACGTTGGGTAGATACTTGGAATGTGTGGATAATGTTACTCATGTTTAATATTCGTGGCAATTAGAACTATGAGGAAAGAGCCCCATTATTTCTGGATTATGTTTACAGGAATGAAGGGCACATGGGATATGGCGGAATTTTATATTAATAATTTCCTGGAACATCATATATTCCAGGCATTGAATCACTTAAACAGTCTCATTTACATTTACATTCTCCGCCTAGGCGCCGCTCCTTAAATGACTTCTGACCCAATTACCCTATTCTACATATAAATTAGATAAGCAGTATCATTAATTCTTAATTTCTCCGTTTAACCATCACTCCATAAATGACTTTCGACCTAGATATTCCACATCCATCGATATACCGGGTACTACACTCAACTCGATGATATTAAATAACTCACACAATAATCATTACAGAAAAATCTGTTTTAAGCGAGTGCTTCAATTGGGTACAATAATTTTTCATACTTTTGCTTTAAAAATAACCTCACTTAAAAAAAGGTTATACGGTAGTTAGTTTGATCAGTCAAGTTTATTAGAGCTTTTATGCTCCCATTGAATAATTATTTCACAGAGCAAATATGAAGGTGCCATATAATTTCGTCAAGATAGTTGACTCACCCTGTACAGAGTGGACGCTTCAAATTATTGCAATAGCCTTAATACATTAATTTCATAAAATTCATTTTTAAATAAAAAAATCAACGTGTCGCGCAATTCCGCCCAGCAAGTTGACCCACCCTGTACAAAGTGGACGCTTCAAATTATTGCAATAGCCTTAATACATTAATTTCATAAAATTCATTTTTAAATAAAAAAATCAAGGTGTCGCGCAATTCCATCCAGCAAGTTGACCCACCCTGTACAAAGTGGACGCTTGAAATAGCCTTAATACATTAATTTCATAAAATTCATTTTTAAATAAAAAAATCAAGGTGTCGCGCAATTCCATCCAGCAAGTTGACCCACCCTGTACAAAGTGGACGCTTCAAATTATTGCAATAGCCTTAATACATTCATTTCATAAAATTAATTTTTAAATAAAAAAATCAAGGTGTCGCGCAATTCCATCCAGCAAGTTGACCCACCCTGTACAAAGTGGAGGTTCCAGTCGGGTCCGGCAGTATCGATACCCGGCAGGAGCAATTTGCCAATACGGAAAGTGTTTGCCGATAATCCGGCGTCGGAGCTGCTAGGTGGCGGCGACTTGGTTTCTCTTCGCGGTTTGCTCGCCGAAGGTTATTTACCGATCCTGACACCGCGTCGCGTCGGTCGCCGGTCGCCGGTCGCCGGTCGCCGGTCGCCGGTCGCGCCGATAATCGATCGAGATCGAAGCGAATTGATTTTGGACGCTGGCCGATTATATCTCACGCTGCCCCCGGGGGTTGGGGGCACTCTTCGTGTGCGATCTCGTGGTCCCGCCGGCGGATCGTTACACCCCCATGGGGTGGAGGCGGGGATACCACCGAATTTATTACGATGGGAAAAGTTCAAGAGCGTCCCTCTGGGTGGATGGGTGGTGCCTCTTCCGCAAGGGAGAGGGAAACTCGCCCTGGGGTGGACTGCCCCCAGGGTGCGCAAAAATCTTCAACCCTAAATAACGCCATCGGTTTTCGAAGTCATACCCGTACATCAATGTTTTCCAAATGTAAGTTGATTTAAAAAAAAAAAGTTTCCTACCTGGTTATTAGAAAATTCCTCCCAAGGAATTTGTAAATTGGGTATTTATAAATATTTTAAACCATGAACCGTCATATATGTATGTAGTAAATTTATTAATAAATGGCTGGTTAGTATCAATAACTAAAGTGACATGAAAATGGCGTCTGACGATGTTTCTCGATTATGAAATTTTTAAAATGATTATAAAGAACCCAACGAACGTTCTGAAACTCGCGGGATTTTTTTTTTTTCCGGAAGAAGAAGAAGAAGAAAAGAAAGTGTACTTATCCCGTATAAGCAGACAAAAAAATGACATTTTTCGAAAAATGAATTTTCCTGAGTTTCGAAGACCTTCATTTGGATTTTCGTGATCACGTGTTCGTTTCGGATTATTCGTATCATTTCATATTATTATAATTAAAACATCCAGTTTGGAGAAATGTCTTGGTGTGTATAATATGACCCTTTCATATCACCTTGTTTGCAAATTCTCAAAGATCGGGGGAAATTGTTCAACCCCTTTGCAGCGTGCGTTCCGTTTTAAGGAGACTTCGCTCTCTCCCTCGGAAAGGTGAAAGAAAATAATTCGCTGGGGAGGTTTCGCCTGCCACTAGGTTTAAGAAGCTTCGCCGTCTCGACGTCGCGATTGCAAAAGGAGTAGTTGATCTTCAAGAAGAGGCCTAAGAGGACTTTATTTCGGTGCTCGTCGTCGCAGGTCTCGGGAGCCGTGGAGAGGTTAGGTCGCCGACGAGACCGAGAGAGACCGAGAGAAAACAGAAACAGAAGTCGGAGAAGCGAACGAAAAGTGTCCTCTAAAACCCCTAACCCCGTCAGCGCCGAATTTCCTTCCACGTTCATGTTCCTCTGTACGATACAAAGTTTCTCCTCATATTCTCCGCCCTCCCAAAAGAATTGTAAAAAAAAAAAATAAATAAAAAAAAAATGAATCCCTGCGACGATGGCATCGGAAATTCTAACAGATTAAAGAGGAGTACTGGATATTATTAATTACTCCTGATCGATTTTTCCCACACTTCGTAAATTAGGATCTCTACAGGTATTCCCTTGGCCCTCTTTCGAGTGAAATATAAGAAGCAGCACGTAAAAAGATGAAAAAATCCCATCTTGGATATAAATGCTAGAAGAGATACATATATAAAAAAATTCCACGAAACAGTGAAATTCTTAGTAATATGCATTCCCCGTGACAATACCGGGTTCCCTAATAAGAAATAATAATCTGGGGATAATATAAGGAAGTATCTTAAGAGTCGCTTCCACGGGGGCGGCAGTGGCGCCCTTTTTCCGGAGGGCGGATGAAAAAGTAGCGGTCCATCTCGGAGGGCGATGAGGACTTTATTTCGGTGCGGGGTCCAGGGCGGGGAGGTTAGGTCTGGGGCGGGCGAGCGAGAGAAAACAGAAGCGGAGACACACCGCGGCGTCGGATCGAGGGGAACCGGAGTGGGGATGGGCGTCACAGGGGCGGGAGGGGGAGGGCGCGAGACGGAGGAGTCCGCTGCACTCGGCAGTAGGCAGCGGGAGGAAAAGCCTGGCCATTCCGGGAGGGGGTTCGGTGGCGGCGGAGTGGGGGTAGGAGATCACGCGTGCGGTTCCTCGGTTGTTAGGTCGTAGCTGCTCGTAGTTACACGTACAGGTTCTTAAAGGCGTTTTCCCTCTCTCCGTGGCGGCGCGCGGTGTGGCGCGCGGCGCGGTGCGCGCGCAGAGCCTCGGCCCGGCATCCGCCAGGAGTCGCTGCCTCCGAGGCCGGCCTCGGCGCGCGAGCGGCCTGCTCAGTCTAATTTGAACCGCCGCGCGCGCGCCCGACTCGCGGGCCATCCTCCGAGGCTTAGGTAGCCGCGTGTCGGCAGTCCGGCCGGAGAGTCCCTAACCTAGCGGCCGGGGCTTGGGTAGTCGGACCCTCCAGGCGGTCGGTAATCGGCCTCGATCCACCGGGTGGTCGGCGACGAATGGTACGTAAGTTGGAGCGGGGCCGCCGAGGGCCAGGTGGACGCGGCCGGGGGTGCGGACGTTAACGTAGTCGGGCCCCGGCAGCGTACCCCGGTGGTCCCGGTCGCCGAGTCGAGGGAGGCGTGTCTAGGTTAGGACAGGAACATCGGGTGGACGATGGTACCCAGGGGTTGCGGCGGGCGAAGCGGGCGTTGACCGGCCCCGACGGCGAGTACCGGGGTGGTACCGGGCCTCCAGGATGAAGAGGACACCGCTCTCGGGGAGGATCGCGACCGGGCGTGCACCGGCAGTCGACCGCTGGGGAACTCGCCGGGGGTCCTGAGCGTGGATGCCGAGACCGGGAGAGGAGCGGAGTGCCGGAAGAGCGGATCAACGGAGAAGAGGACCAGGAGGAGGGTGGTCCGGAGGAGGGACTCCCGAGGCGCACCAGCTCCCTAGCTCCAGAGGACGTGGCACCAGCGGCGGATGATGTGGGCGTCTCTACTTTTGGCCGGGATCTTAAGCGGTTGGTGGGGCCCTCTCGCGATCGGGGCGACGAGCCCCGCCAAGCCGGCCCTGCCGACGGCGGCGACCGGGGTGGACTCGGTGACGACCCCCCACGAGGAGGCCTCGCCGGTTTTCGGGAGGACCCTGCCGGTCGCCCCGTCGACGACGCGCCGGTACGCGAAGGAACCCGCGGAAGAGGAGGAATCCTCGTCGACTAAGGAGGATCCGGAGGATCCGAAACCGCCCCGCTACCATCGGATCAACGGACCCAGGGCGACGTCCTGGAGGCAATCGGAACTGTTCGAGGACTTGTACGCGGAGACGCGGTCGAGGACGGCCAACCGGGAGGCGTCGAGTCGGAGAACCGAGGCCATGGAATCGGGGCACGCGGTCGACCCGGGGAACCGCCAATGGACGACCCCCACCGGCTTGGAATCCGCACCCGAAGACCAGGGACCCTACGCGTGGATGAAGACTCACCCGGACGCGCCGATCAGGGAAGTGAACCCGGACCGGGATCCCTTCCCCCGCCAGCGTCCATCGGGGGAGCTCGCTGGAGTCACCCCTTTCAGCCCTGATCCCTCCCCCGGGAGGCAGGGTACCCCTCGCGACTACACCTATCTGGACGCTCTGATCATCGAGAACGACAGGGACTGGAGAACGGTCACCGGGAGTCGGCAGACTCGGGTCACCGTCCCCGGGAGCTCGATGTTCACCTCGGAGAACGACGACCCGACCCCCCTGGTCACCAGGAACGGGGAAAACCTCGACACCGTGGCCGGGGGACTGCCGCATTTGGATGAACCGGTCACCCGGAGGGAACCTTTTGCCCCCAAGGGCCTGGGGACCCTACCCGACACCTTCTCGACGATGTACCCCACGCTGGCCCAATCCCTTCTCACTCGCGACCCTGGTCACTCCTCTAGCCAGGACCCTCTGATCGGGACCGAGTCCTCCGTGGAACGCCCTAGGGTCCCCAGGTCGGTCCATCCTCGGAGGCCCAAGGTTCGCACCAAGGCGGAGTCCCCTAGGGAGCAACGACGGCGATGCCGCGACAGAGGGTGCCGGGGACGCAACTGGTGCCCCGACATGGACGTCGGGAACCGCGCCTACATCGCACCCACCGTCTTCGAGGGCAAGGCGCGCAGCATGTCCTCCTTCAGGAAACCGGGCTCGAATTACGCCGTAACCTTCGAGGTCAAGCAGGTCTACAAGAGCCAGCCAGGGTTCCTGCCCCTCCAGAAGAACGACAGCGTTCGCCTCCACTTCCGCGACAAGGCCGGCCCCGGCAAGTCGACCTTGTGCGCTCAGGAGGCCGCTGCTCCACAGCGCGACAATAGTGGGGTCGTGCGCGCCAACATCAAGCGGGGTAAAGTGTACTTAGTGTTTGTGAACCGCGTGGGACCCAGGAACTTCACCATTTTGGGAGAGCCCGTGATTCGCAGCAAGAAGAACGAACAGGCGGTACAGGCCGTCGTCAGACCGGACTACGGTGAGTACACCTATCATTTTCGTTTAATCGAGGCGAAATCTCTCGTCCTTAGGACCTCCAATTGGCGTTTCAAGGTCTCGCGAAAGTGCCGCGGAGAGGTCTCGCTTATATGAAACTTTTCCCCGGGCTGGGTGTACCGAATTTTTTCAAACTTCATTTTCAAACAAATTTCAAACTTGACAACGCGAATGGGGATGCCACGAAGATGGTCCTCACGCCCGTAAGGTTTCAATTTTAAATACAATCCGTTCACCGATGTTTTCCAGACTTTTTTTATAAAAGAAAGAAATGAAATTCGGCTCAGGATCTTCCTTATAGCCCCCTCGTTCACGTTGCCAAGTCCAAAAATGAATTTTGGAGAAAAGAACCTCATGGACCTCCTTGATGCCACTTTCACATCACCTTAAAGTCCTAGCGATTGGATCGAAACTTCGGTTTCCGTTTCTTTCATCCCTCTCCGGATCCCATTCGCGTCTGGGTCATCCTTTTCGCGAAAAGTGTCTTTTCTCTTGATCTAAGTGTCGTTAGCCTTTCGACACCCAAACACGTAGAGCAGAAAATGCTTTTCGCCAAAGTTGCGGGGACATCCTCGGGGGTGGTGGCAGGGGTTATAAGCCGAAGCAACATTGTTGCTACGGGGTGTCGCACCACCCTTACTCGCAGGGGCTGTAACAAGGTCGGGGCAATGTTGTAAAGTGGTATATCACTTTACTGGGAAAACTTTCCTCGTTTTCGAGTCAAACTTTCCGCGATGTGAGCCAGACAGGGTCTGACCGTTAACACGCGTTTCTTGACACGCGTGTACGCGAAACTTCGCCACCTCCTCCCTTCTTTCTTTTTTTTTTATCTATCTTTCTTCTTATATTTTATCATATCCTTTATCTACCGTCGACCGACCGGCATGAAGATTGACGAGGGATAATTTCCACCTGTTTGTACGTGAATCGATTATTCAACGGGGGAATTGTCCAGAATTGAATTGCGAGTCGCCGAGCGGTTTACCTAATAGTTATTGGCAGTATTGGTAATGTCGTCCAGTGTGTCGCAATTATCGAACTGCCATTGCTAGGCATCTGCAGTATCGCTAATGGCAAAGGCGCGAAACACGATTGCAAATTTCGGGCAGCCTTGGGGACGGGATGTATATATATACTTCATATTTCATGGGTCGAAATGAAAAAAGGAAAGAAAAAAATGGAATTTGAATTTCATCGTTCCGGTTACATATTCCATCTTGGGGGCGTTTAATTGTTGATTCGTAATTGATCGTTAAGAAGGGTAATGTCCTTTGCAAGGAGGCGCGCGTTTCCGTGCTCGCCCTTGGGTTTTGTTTCACGTTCATTATGAATCTATCGGGGAGAAAGTACGTGGAATTGACATGATTTTTTAAATAATTTAACATTAGTCTTGCGGATGTTAAACTATTAACGTGGAGGATGTCTTTCGCAGTTGGTCTCGGTACACTTTAATGTCGAAACGGTCACGTTGGAATATCGATGGAATTGCTTTGCGGCTCGGTACTCTCTTAGTGTTTTGTATTTACGTCGAAAATGCCGGGGTTGATTGTTCACCCCGACATTGTAATGTTCAAAATGAACGTCCCCACGTTCTTTGTTGACAATAAAGTCGCGAGGGGCCGGGTTTACGGACGTGCCACGGCACGTAGGAGTCGGTGTCGACGCATCGCGAACTCCTGCTCCTCCTCCTCTGTTTACCAGGATCCGAGGGTTCCTAGGTAGATACCGCTCGTCCAAACTTCCCGACTCTTATCCCATTAGCATCCGGCCCCTGACGCGACTCCCTCGGGACCCGGCCCGACGCCTCCCCGGAACGTCCCGAAGAATTAATTCCACCCCCCGAGCGGCGCGCTGTGTGCACCCTTAAAAGAAGCGCTATCATTTTAGAATATATCCCTCTTGAATGTTCACATTCTTTTTTTTCTTAAGTAAAATTTCTATCTAATGGTACTTGACTTTAAACGTTAATTAGAATTAGAAGAATTAATTTCTCCCCCCGAGCGGCGCGCTATCATTTTAGAATATATCCCTCGTGAATGTTATAACACATTTTTTTTTTTCATGTAAAATTTCTATCTAATGGTACTTGACTTTAAACGTTAATTAGAATTAGACGAATTAATTCCACCCCCCGAGCGGCGCGCTATCATTTTAGAATATACCCCTCGTCAATGTTATCACATTATTTTTTTTGTTCAAGCAAAATTTCTATCGAATGGTACTTGACTTTAAACGAAGTTTCATTTTTTTTTTAACTTACAAATTTTACATACGTCCCGGCAGTGATTGTTTACGTCTTTAGGTAGATTCGCCCCATCCGACAAAACGTGACATGCGTTTCAATGGAAATTAAAAAATCCATTCATCCCATATCTAAATTTAATTAAATTAAATAAAATACTAAATTTATAATAAAAGTTAGAGATATTATTTGAAAGTATGTTGAAAAATAGTCATACCACGCCCGAGTGAGACTGCCAATGGAAATGTTAGAAGATTATGACATTTTCCTTAACAGCCTCTGTCAGGACGTATGCAGATATTACCGACCCCGTCACAATTGCCCGCCCACTTCCCCCTACGACTCCACCGAGGGGATCGTCCTTACCCCCATGATCCATGGTTAAACCGAGAAATAGGAAGCGGGGGATCGCGATGCGTTGCGTCTTGCACGCATCACGATCCGGTGGTTCGTTGATCCGGTACAAAAGCGGTCCGCCGGCCCTTCCAGTTGTCGGTGACTAAGCCAGACGTGGGGTCGGGGGGCAGGGGGTCGGGGGGGATAGCCGAGACGTCAATTATAAGGCCTTAATCGGAAACCCGTCCTTACTTCTGTTGGCTTATACCGCCAGGAGAGAGACGCGTGTGCGTATTCTCTCCGCGGCCTTTTCTACCTACCGCAACTATCCCCCCCAAGGGGGGCACGGCCCCCATCGGAGCGGGCAACTGCGCACGCGCGTGCCCCCGAACCCCCTGCCGGTAAAGTAGGTTATCCCAGAGATGGACCCCTCTCGACGGGGAAGGACTTCGAGGGAGAAAGAAATTCCGCTTCCGTTTGTGACAGCTCATCTGAAGGGATGCTTCCGATTAAGGTGATATGAAAGTGGGATATATATATGTATATAGGAAATGTCAAAATATTTATATTATTTTTTATTCAAACTGGGTGCACCGAATTATCTGAAATGATTATTTTCCTCGAATTGAGGAAACATTTCAGTGGGACTTCAAGCTGTTTCGATGTCACTCTTATGATTCCTGTATCGGTGACATAAAATGCCTCAATTTCCGCGTACCTCCGACCATATCAAAGTCTATTATACTTTAGAAGTTCCTACTGTCAATTTTGTACTTGGCGGGAGGTGTCTCGGTTCGTTTTAACCTCTTCCTATCTCTGGGGGACAACCCCATTGTGGTTCCCATTGCTGTCGCCGACACCTCGCGAAGCGATATCCCTCCCCCGAGTTTCCGGAAACAAATTAACGCAACTATGCCGTGTCCGGTGCGGTGATTGGCTTACGTCACCCTTCCCTAGGCAGCCGCGACAAATTACTATCAAAATTAATTGCCGCCAATTATCCCAGGTGCGCCGCCACCCCGGGCCGAATTCCCGAAATCGCATCTCCGATTGTCGGACGGCTCGGTGATGTGCAGCTCGTTTCGTTTTGCAAACAATCTCTAAATGTTATTCGCCGTCACTCGACGTCTCTACGTGCGAGTCGTTGCCTCTTATCATTCGATTTCAAACGTGATTACCCGGTGCACTTAGCGATTCAACGTGTGGATCTTCGTACACTTTCCAAGTTCCGTTCCGTTCGAAACTTTCAGGAATAATTTCACGCAGTGGCCATTTTTGTATCGCCTTAAGGTGATAAGAAACTGACATGTGTACATACTCTACAGTCCAAATGTATATGAAGCTTTGCGCCAAATCTGGTGCACCGAATCATTTGAAACTTCATGGGATTATGGAGGCCCCAAGGAAGAATTCTCGGGAAATTTGATTTTTCGAAAAGAAATATCTGCTCATTTTTATAAACATTTATAAACATTTTGACGGTTTTATATGTATAGAATGACCTTTTCATGTATCCCTTAAAGTTTTGCCCTGAGACGCCATCGACTTCTTCGGCATCGCGTTCGTCCTTACAGCCGTCATCATTGCACTCTGAAGTGTCAAATGATTCTATACCCTCTGGAGAAAAGTATTATAAACATTTTGACGGTATCATATGTATAGAATGACCCTTTCATGTCGCCTTAAAGTTTCGCCCTAAGACGCCATCGACTTCTTCGGCACGCGACGCCGGTGCGCGGGTCGCAAGAAAGAGAGGTTAGGTAATCCGCGCAATTCGATCTCCGTCGATAAACGAAGGGCTCTTCTTGTCCGAGGGAAATTACCGGGACATAATGACCGGCAGGCACGCTTAAGGGGGTTGGTACGGAACTTTCCGCCATTACGAAACGCGGCATGCCGTCAAGTGGTCGAAAAACCGGAGGAATTAACCTTGTTCTCGACCTCCTTGGACGGTGGGCGTTTCTTTTATTTCGGAATGACCGTTCGTGGAGGGGACCGATATAAAATGGCGGTAAAAGGTGTCCGATATTAGATGGCGGGTAGGGCTCCCCGTTAGTACGTCATTCGAGTCTTCGGCACGTGACGTCTAAGCTACGGTGCCTTCCATCCTCTCTTCTCGGGCTGGGGAGATCGGACGAGATTCGATCTCTCGGGGATGATACCCTCCTTTTATTGCGCCCCGAGATTCCGCCATATTCCTTGCCCGAACCCCGGAATGCCGGGAGGAATTAAAATGTCGGAACATGCGCCGTGAGGTCTCATCTTGGGATGTTCTTGCGTGGGTTATATTTCCTCGGTTTAAATAAATCCTTTGGTTTATTCTTACGCGTATAGCCAAACATTTTGTCGGCTTGAATAAATTCTTTGATTAAGAATGTCATTTTGGGAAATCATCAACGATGCTG